AACACTTCACAACAATTCTAGATGTGTCCTTAGGTTCTATCGTAAATCAGCACTGGGGCCAAAACCCGGCCCATGGTCCCCCGACCCCCACCAACCCGGACCCGTATGTTTGGCGGCTTATTTTTGTTCCAAGACCGCGCCATTGCCCTAAAAGATTTCAAACTTTTGCCGCCAAAATTGCATTACCATTACCACAGCTTTTACCTTTTATTTTCCATTTTCGCAGATCAATCTAGATCTTCCCCCCCAGTGTCTCTGCATTTGATCTCAATTATCCGAAGCTTATCTCCTCGCCGCTTCTTTCATTGTAAACTGCACTGCAGAGATGGACACCGAGGAGGATTTTGAATCTTTCCCGCCCACAGATGAGGCTTCTTCTCCAGTCACCGGTACGAAACTGAAACGACTGAAGAAAGGGAGAATGGTTGAGGCGAATCCACTCCCATCTGAAGCTTTGGATTTCGAGGAATCAAACGGTCAAGGTTTTCAGGAGCCAAAATCGGGATATAGGTCAACCTTCGAGGGTTTTGATGAGGAAGACGAGTTGAGCTCTGGGTTTGATGAGTTGGGTGTCGAGGAAAACGAATCGGAATCGGATGCCAAGATGACTTTGGATTTTGAATCTTTGAACGAGGAAGGAGATAGAAATAGCGGGGATCAGAGTCGAGAGACGGAAATTGGGAATTCAAAGGAAGTGGAATCAGAAACCAAGCAGGTTGGTGCCGATGAATCTGACCAGCAAAAAGAGAAGAAGAGGAAGAAGAGAGTCAACGATGATGATGAGATGCAGGAATCAACCATCCCGAAGAAGAAATTAACGCAGAAGGTACATCTTGTAAATTTTTGTTAGTCTATTAATGTAGTGATCTTTTATTTAGCCTGTTTATTTTTCTAATTGTTATAGCTGCAATCAATTTTCAACAGGAGAGAAGAAAACAACTTACATCACTTCGTGCTGAATCTCAGAGGCTGTTACGAGGTATACGCAAGCTTTATTTAAGCACAATTTTGTTTTCTTGAGTGATTTTGTTTGCTTTGTAATTTTGCCTTTTTTTTAAATTTTTTTTTTTTTTTGAGCTAGAAACTAGAGATGCTGCATTTAAGCCTGCACCACTGGTTCAAAAGCCAATATCATCACTTTTGCAAAAGATTCGGCAAAGAAAATTAGAGATTTCAAGAAAGTAAGTATTTGACTTTCTATTATTTGAATTTTTGTTGATTTTTCATTTTGTTATATCTTGTTGGATGATGGCTCTGTATACCGAGCAGAACTTCTTCTGTTAATGATGATGGCCTTTCGAAGGAGGTAATGGTGGAGCTTGAATATGATGACGTAGTTATTGAGGGAGGAACAAATGACAGGGTTGAGGAATTGGTAAGAGAGGAGGGGATTGCTAGTCAGGATATTTTGGAGGCATCATTTGCAGATAGACCTGAGAGTATTGCAAATCAATCAAGTCATGTTGATATTGCGCCTGACATGGTGAATCATGAATGTGTTGCTCCTATCAAAGATATTTTTTTTGTCTTCTGGGTTTAACATGTGCTAGCAATTCTGTTTACTTAAAGTCTTGGAACTGGATTTATTTGTGAAATTAGTGAACCAAACATTTTATGTCCTTTTGCTTGGTAAGCTGAACCAAACATTTTCCGAGTTTAAAATACTATTTTACAATGACATAGCAATTGCTTTATTGTATTTTGTTAACTGTGACATTAGAGCAGACGCTTTCACTGTTTTCTTGATAGTCTTTAAAGGCTCATTCCCCATGGAAATGTTATTTTCCTTGTGATTTTTCATATGTAAGTTTTAGGTAGATGTCTTAGACAGACTTGCATATTATAATGATAATTTATTGAATTACAGGCGGTTGATGAGAAACCTAAACCCAAACAAGCATTTCATCCTCCTGTTGATGATGCTCAGGTTTCCTTTCTTCCCTTCATATCTCAGTTGTTTGAAGAGCAACTGGCATGTTTGCAGTGCTTTAATACATTTCATGATTTACTTGTATGTTATAGGATTTATTTTCCGAGTCCCAAACAAGTGATTCCAAAGATGAAATCCCAGATGAGAGCCCCAATAGCCCTGTGGAAGTTCTGGCCCCATCTTTACTTGCCATGAACTTAAAGTTTGACTCTTCTCCTCCTGATGACATGTAAGTGTTATGTCTTAACATTTTGCTTCTCAAGTCTTGTGATATCATGTCATTGCGTTTTCTTTTTGGATTGGAGTATTTTTATTTATGAGACCTTCAGTCCCTTCTAAGGTGAGACAATTGCAGGGAGATTCCTGTACTCTGTCAACACAAATGAAATTATTCTTGGATATGTTTCCATGGGCCTTTTGTGCACGTTCCTTGTAATTTGTTGGGTCATAGTCCATTGTATGAGCCCAAGATTATTTTGGAGTCAGTTTTAATCGTTAGATATGAGAATCATTTAGGAAATGACTTTGTTGTACATGCAGTATCATTCAATAATAGGAAGCACTAACATCGTGTAAAGGTGGAATTAAAAAAAATAAAACGTCATGTAAAGGTGGATTAAATTACTTTGTTTTTGTAGTTCATCTGATGAAGAGGGAAATGACAAGGACAATGTTGATCCCCACCCTCTCGGGTCAGTTGACCCGTCTTCTTCTCCAAATGGTGATCCTGTCAAAGAATTTGTTGATGATGAAGCTGAAGAAGAAGATGACAGTGACAATGACCGATTGTGCTTTGGAGATAATGATGAAGAAGAAGATGAGGATAGTGACGATTCAGAGGAGCTTAGGGATCTGATAGCAACAGAGTATGAAGAAAAGCCAAGTGATATTGAAAGGCGCATGGAACGCCATCAGGAGTTTCTTAATCAACAGGATGCTGCTGAAACAGAAAAGATGTTGCAGAGGTGGGGCTTAAAGCAGAGAGAAATGTCAATTGAAGAGGAGGTAAATGAGGAAAGTGAAGCAGACATGGAGTCTGATGATGAAGCTTCTGATGATTTGCCTGCAACAAATTGTATTCGAATGAGCATAAAAAAACTAAGGGAAATGATCCCTCAAATGTTTACAGATAAAGATGATGTGTACATATCATCTGATGATGAGGAAATGCAGAAAAGCCTTGTTAAACAGCGCCTGTCTGAGAAAGCGGTGAGTACTTCTTATCATGTCATAAGTTATGGGTTTAAGAATTTTGTTTTTGGCATGAATTCATTTATTAATCAATCATATGTTTCTATTGATTGATCATAAGATGGTTCTATCATGATATGTTGCAGGACAAGCAGGCAAAGTTACTGCCACCAACAGAGGATGTGAGGTCTAAAGAATTTTTTAGTCATATAAAGCAGGTGAATAACATGCCTCAACACAGGAAAAAGGCCAAAACATCATGTAAGCCTCTTATAACCGCAAAAGCTATTTAGTCCACAAAATCTTAGCTTGTTATGCATTAACCATTCATTCTCTTTAATAATTACTTTCTCACAGCTGCCTTTTCTTCCACGTTGCTTGCTGGAGGAAAGGGGCCTGCATTAGCAAAGGTAAACTGACTTTGTACTCTTCGGGTTTAGAGTGGAGTTCTTTTTCTAGTATAAGAGACTTGGATAATCAATATGGATAAAAAGGAGAAAAGAGGAATAAAAGGGCCTTTTGATGTATGATACTTTAATATCATACCATATTTCATATTTTCATTAGAAATGAGTTTTATCAGATGGAAGAGTTGGATTTTGATTTCTATTTTGACATTGGGTGGTCAATTTCTATACTTATTCTGTGATAGTGGCAGCCGTTGCTGACCTCCCCCATAAAGAAACTTCATCTCATGAGTCAGTTTGTCACATTGTTTAGTTTAATCTTGGCCCCTGATGGCTTGACCAGTGTAAACCAACTGACCTTAACTTTGCTATCTGTACCTATTGCAGACATCTTTCATAGGTAGAGGATCAAAATGTTCTTTACCACCAATCCAGAAGCATGGATCAGGCATGGCACGTTCTTTTATATTTGAACGTGAAGTCAGTAATAGCAGGAGCAGAATCTCAGCAGCAGAGGATTCTTCAATTACAGTAAGCTTACTACAAACAACCTTAGAGTTGAAGTACAAAAAGTTTTTCTAACTTTGGGATGAATTTTTTTTCTTAAAACTTGAAAATGCTACCAAGTTCAAACAGTTATGCTCATATGATAACATTAATCACTCCGAATTTAACTTCTCTATGCTAAAATGCCAGATTACTTTCTCTAGCAAATTGCCAAATTCTTTGATGTCACTTGCAGATTCAGAAAGAAACCCGCCGCCCAGCAAAACCTGCATCAGCCAAATTCAGCAACTCCCAAGTTACATCTACCGCTCAAAGCAAGAAAACAACAGCAGAAGAAGAAACCACTTCAAAAACTCCATTACTGGAGATATTAAGACGTTCGTCACTGCAACGACAATCTAGCCACTGCATAAAGAATAGCACCATTGATCGCCCCAAATCTATCTTTGCTGCATTCAAATTGGAAAAGAAAACAACACAGACTAAATCCACTGTACCCATAAGAACTCTCTAGGCTATTATGTTTTGTAGATTTCCTTCTAAGCATCAGTTTAATTGCTTACCAACTTTTGTAGATTGATATTATTTGACTTGCATTTAAAAAAAATTTTATACATAATTTTTTTATGGATAATTCATTAAAAAATTACTTAAATTATTATTTATATGTTATATAAAAGTATTATAATATTATTTATTTTTTCAAACAAAATGTCATGTAATGAATAAAATAAAATAAAAAAGTGTAATGTTATTTAGATTATATTAAATTATATAATATTAATTATTAAATAAAAGTTAATTTTTTTAACATCGAGAGTTTTTTTTTTTTAATCATTTGATGATTTTTATTTTATATTTTCCTGCAATTCGAATTGTAAATTAGAGGGTTGCCAAAACAAAATAAAATTTATGGATTAAATGCATATTTAGGAATTTGGTCAAAATGATAGAATTTATGGTTAAAATGGTAAATATGCCTTTTTAATATTGACGTGTCATGCTATGATTGGATAGAAGATGGGTCGGTTGAATTAATAATCCCCTCATTGTTATAGCGAAGCAAAAAAAAAAGGTATTTTCGCCTGAAAATTGGAAGTTCGATGCCCTAACCCGTGTCAAAAAAAACGTTCTAACACTCCCGTGTCTGATCGCCACCGCCGATCTCTTTCCGACAGAGTTCAGTCAAATTCGGACATAGATTCCACCGACTCAGATCCGAAAGATCTGAAACTAAAATGGCAGAATACTGAATCAACAAGAATCTTCAAGCTTTCCTTCAATGGCGATGAATCCACTCAAAGGCAAGTTGTTTTTTTTCTTCTATTTCCTTTTCGTTTTCGCTTCTCCTCCTGTGTCCACCGTCTTTGTAATCTCTACTTCCTTAGAAATCCAACCCGAACCTGAGATTAAGAGTGCCCCCGATTTCAATCACCAAGAAGCTTTATTGCATAAACTGGAAGATTTAGTGAGAAATCTTAGTGAAATAGTGGCAAACTTAGAATCTAAATTATCGGAGTCTCCTAAGGCGGCTGTTCCTGTCGATGAGAAGCATAGTGTGAAAAGTTCGAGATTTTCTCCTCTTGAGGAAGATAAGATTAGACGTGCAGTGGGGAGAGATGGAGAGAAAGGAGGAGCTGTTTCGGTGTTGAAATACAATGCGTTCTGGTCGGAGAGGTTCCAGTTTGTTTCGGCGGTGAAATTGGATTCTGATGCAACGTCGATTAATGTTTTGCCACTTCGCGATTACGAAGGGGTTAGTAAGTATTTCGCCGTTGGAGATGACAGAGGTAGGGTTTATGTGTTCTTGAGAAATGGGGACGTTGTGGTGGAGTTTTTTACGCAGTGTCAGTTCCCAATCACGGCAATGGTTTCCTACTTGTCACTGTACCGGAACGAGAGTGTTTTGGTCACCGGACATCAGAATGGTGTGGTTTTGGTGCATAGAATTTATGAGGGATTGAATGGGGAAGATTCGAGCTCCCCTGTTATGGAAACTATCGGGAAATTTTCGCCGTCTTCCGAAAGTGGGGAAGATGGGATGCCGGTAACTATATTGGAAGTGCATCATCTGGGGAGGGAGAGGCACATTTTGTCTACAGATCTTGCTGGGAAAATCAGGGTTTTTACGGAAAATGGTAAACTTTATGGTTCTGCAATGCCGACAAGTAGGCCACTGGTGTTCTTGAAGCAAAGGTTGTTGTTCTTGACAGAGACTGGTGCTGGATCATTGGACTTAAGGACTATGAAGATCAGGGAATCAGAATGTGAAGGATTGAATCGTTCTCTTGCTCAGATTTATGTTTTTGATGCCACAGAGCGGTCTAAAGCCTATGGTTTTACCTCAGAGGGTGATCTGATTCATGTGTTGCTATTGGGGGATGTTATGAACTTTAAATGCAGGGTTAGGTCCAAGAAGAGGGTTGACTCAGACAAGGTGGTTGCTCTTCAGGCTATTAAGGGATATCTGTTCCTTGTTGATCAGGAGAAGGTTTTCGTCTACAACGTTTCTACTCAGCATTATGTTAGGAATGCTGGACCTCGGTTTGTTTTCTCTGCTGGTGTAGATGAGATCAGATCTTTGTTTTTGGTCATGGACATGAATGAGAAAATAGGAAAGGCAAAACCCTTAATTACAAGTGACCGAGAAAAACTTGTCCTGCTTGGCCTTGGAGATGGGTATGTGGGTATGTATCGATCCAACCTTCCAGTGATTACGAAAGGGGAATCCAACACAATTCTTTGGACCAGCCCTGTGTTGTTTTTCCTGCTTTTCTTGTTCATCGCATGGCAATTCTTTGCAAAGAAGAAGGAAACACTTACTTCCTGGGGATTGGACGACCCTTTCGGCTCAACATCAGCTACAGCTGGAGCTCAACTAGGATCAAGCTCCGGAGACAGGTCTTTTGTAGACTCTTCTTCAAGGGGTGCTGGTGCTGACATTATGGACTTGAAAAGCAGTGGTCTCAGATCTACATCAAGGAGGTATGGATCCCCCCCTCGCTATCCTGGTGGAGCAACTAGTTCCTTCAGATCGAGCTCTTCTGATCCCGGGTCTAGGCCTGCCTCTGTTGATCCCAATTATCGACCAGGTTCAGAGCTAAAATACCGGGGTCCGGCCCTTGATTCAACAGCGTTTACCAAGAGGAGAGAGGCTCTATTTGCAAACAATCAAGGTGTGGATGATAGCAGTTGATCGGTACAATCAGGTGGTAAAACACTTCCACCGTGGCAAGGGAGTTCAGATGATGTTGTGAAATCATATGAATTCCAGAATGTTGTACTTTTAATTAGCCTGAGCAAAGAAATAAGTGAACAGGTTTAAGCATTATTTTTCTTTAAATAGAAATAGATCTTTTTACGTTCATCTATGTAACTGGGGAAAGCCTTCTATCAGCATCCTTCTATAGATTCATTGCCTGTGTCTAAATCTAACATTTTCATTTTTGGGACAACGTTTGGGATTTATTCATGCTAATACTGGAATTTTAATTAATACAAAAAAATTTCCTATAAAAATACATAATCATTTATGAGTTCATAATTTGATCTTCCTGTTTAAGAATTTAATTAGTGATAATGTAAATGTGTTATGGGATCTCATTTTCTGTTTGGTAACCTGAATATAAGCATATATTGAAATTTGGCAAGAACAAGTATACCACTTATGAACTTAAATTTACCAATATTTGTTCCCATTTCAATTTCCTATGCCTAGTTTTTTATATTTCTATAGCTCGTGAAATTTACCGATTGTAATGTGTAACAAAAACATCTGTGTCATTCACAATTCTCCGCATATAAGATCATATATCAGCAATTGACAATGCAAATTACAGAAAGAAACTGGCCGAGTTTCCATTGATTATCCAATTTCCCAAGCATGCCCCCATCATTATAGGCAAGAATTAATCTCGAGAGTTTTCTTGTGCATTGATTGTAAAAGATGGGTAGGAGACGTCTATTAAGTCTAGCAGATCAAACAGGAACTGCCAAGCCCATCTTTGCCATGCCGTCTAGTATATCATTGAGAGCTTGACACACACCAACAATCTGCAAATATCATAGGCAAAGAGAATGAGCTGCTGAAATGGTAATCTTTCACTTTACAGTAAATAGGGGATACGATGTTAAGAGAATTCCCAAGCTCGAGATGATCACCTGTTGATCCCACCGTTGTAGTTCTTCAGTGTCATCTTCAAAATGTATTACAGCTTCCACCTGGTGCATACAAGTATTCATCAAAATAGCTCCTCAAAATATTATTCATTGATTCCTAAGGAAAATTTATAAAGCAAACAAAGATCAAACAGTTTCTGAGATGTTACCAAGAAATCATTTGTAATTATTTCAAATTTTCATAATCATTACATATGAATCCCGGCCTGATCAATTTCAAAATAAGATAAAATTTGAAACAAGGTATTCAAACCTGATCAATTGATCCTCTCATTCTATCTTCATAAATCATTTTTGACGCTATCTTCTTAGCCTGTTAAAAAAAAAAAAGATAAGAGAAAGGAGGGGCATGAAAAAAGAATGCCAAAGTGTTAAACATAAGAAGAATTCCTTATGAGGTGGAATGCCCAGTAGAGTGCCCAATTCATCAAACTACAGAAAACAGTTAGTGAACATCATTGATATTAGTGAAACTTGACGCCCAAAACAGAATATAATGAAAATTTAAAGCACACCATTTCTGACCTTATGTTTGTGTAAAGCTTGCTTGCACTCAAAAGAGCATGCTCAATCATGGCTCGGTCCAGCACAGTAAAATTGTCAGGAAGGAGTGCTTTCTGTTGAGAATTAAGAGATGAATACATGCATCATGATTAACAACCTCAGTGAATGACTGCTGATTTTTCTGATAGATGTAAAATCCTTAATTGCTGTAAATGCAACAGCTAAGGTAAGGGGGGAAAGTATGTAAACCTGATGTGGTTTCAATTCCTCAGCAAATGCATCAATTTCTGGCTTTCTTAATATTCTCTCCAAATACACCTGTCAATTTCCATATTACAAGTCCTCATCAGCAAAGGATGTATAAGGTTCTAGAAAAGATGTATAGATAAAAAACAAAGTTGAAATTAATGCCAGTCAAATGCACTCCAATGCACACACTGTAGCAAGTTAGAGAGAGAGAGAGAGACCCCTTTTGCAATATTGGATAAATTTTCAATTTTGAACAACGTTCATCCTGAATTGTGTCCCCATCAAATCAGCAGAACTTGCATCAGTATTACTTCCATATTTGAATTGAATAAAGAAAATAAAAGTTCTCATATTATCTTCCATCAAGAGAGTGTATTTACTCTGTAAAGAGTGGCAAGAACACGAGAGCATTGAGGACCTGCTCCAGCTAATATTGTACACGTCACAGCAGCAGATAGAGCTTGCTCCAATACATCCTCATCTATTGTTCTGTGAAATATGATCTTCATTATTCCAAAACCCCCAAAGATATTAATCATTCAGAAATGGAGAAAACTGGGCAATTCTTTTATGTTTCCACTTGACCTCTATGCTTATGGCTTAAGAGAAGATAAAATAGAAGCATGAACTATACATCAAAGGAGTTTTAAAAAAAAAAAAAAAACAATTTTAGCTCCTGGAAGGATATGACAGGAAAAAGTTGTGGCAAGAAAGAATGACGGGACACTTTTGCTTAGATTTACATTTGTTAAGAATTACATTTCATATGTGGAAATACATGGAATACTTGCAACGTATATAGAATGGAAGGATACATACTCATCTCCTATTTGGCGCTTCTCAATTTGAGATATGTCATAGTATCGGAGTGCTGCTTCCAAGAATTTTCTCTTAACAGACCTGACATGGTGAAAAATAATTAACACAGAATTAGAAAAGACTGAAAGTAGTGGTTTCTGACACCATCATTGCTGACTGTAAAACAAGACTAAACCTTGTATTGCAAAATCAATACTTCATGCTGACTGTTGCTAACCAAGAATGAAGCCTTATTAATAAAAGCTTCTGCATTAACAGCATCATCATCCTGAAGAAGTATGAAATTTCAGAAAGGTTTCAATAGTTAGCAAACAACTACGTAAGTTGCAGTAAAAACTTAAGCCCCCAAAACACAAGATTAACAAAAATACACAACAGACATAAAAGAGTGAGCCGTATGACCAGTAAATGCACTCTGTCGATCACATTAAAAACTCATCCACATGACACACAAGTTCAAACATTTATCACTTTTGCATTGCAAAACAGCAACAAACCTCCTTTACATAGGCACAGAAAGAATCAATACCTCAAGATATAGACGAGCAATTTGAACACATTTTGATAATCTATATGTATCATCAATGACCCTGATACAGATTAATTCACAAAACATAAAAGTGTCATGATGAGGGGAAGCATCAACTGACACAAAGTTAAAAAGAATGCAACATTCAGACTCAGACCTCATTCCATAGTCTAGATCAATTCCACTTAGCATCTGAGCTGCTTTTGACCACTGCTGCTCAGACTCATATAACTCAGCAAGTTTCTCTCTGATAACTAACACCTGAGAATCATAAAAATAACATCTTTGATTTCAAGAACAATAAATTACCCAATAAGCCAATAGTAGCTAAGGGAACAACAATGTGGCACCTAAGTACATACCCTCCAACATCCCACTCTATCCACCACAGCTTAAAACATAGTAAAATAATCTAGGACCAACCTGTTCTTCGAAGGAAACAACGCGAGGCTGAATCTGAGCAAGAATATATGGCCAATCTCCTTCTGTGCCTCTGGCTGCAATCTCCCTACCTCCTGCGCAAAAGTCTGTAAAAGCTGCCTCGATACCACCAGAGGAACAACATCTGATAACACTGAAGATAATCCACCAACCAAAAAATAAAAAAGGTCATGATTTCAAAAGCCCTAAAGTCCACAGAACTCAAACAAGACGAAGCAGTTACCGTGATCAACGAATTTCTTGGCTTGAACAAAGTCGTTTGATGAGAAAACTGTGGAGAGAATGTGCTTGTACTACTCGATTTTCTGCCTCTGGTCTGCGATCGCTGAGGCGCTAGGTAATGCACCCTCCATTGAATTACTTCAGAGCTCTGAAATCAAAACCCTAGACCGTAATCTTCGATGTAAATTGGCGAAATCGGAATTTCTCAGGGCGCAGTTTTCAAATTGCCGGTGAGTGACTTTTCTTTTGAAAAGACGGCGGGGATAGACGCTCTCAGTTGCCGTTTCGATAGCGGCCAATTGGTGAAGAACACGTCATTAAAGAGGGGTACTTTTGTCATTTTATATATTTTACAACCATGTTTTTCTTCTCCATTAACGGAAACGAAAAATCACAGAACTTTGCGAGTCTTGACCATTGCCAACCTCGATTCGCTTCCCTCTCTCTTTCGATCCAATCGCCGCCGCCGCAGCTGCCGTCGTCGTGGACGTAGCACGCATCCGTCGCTAGGTAGGCCTTTCAGTCTCTTCCTCTTATTTCTGGAGAATTCTTTTGTTCAGCTCCTTTTTAGTCAAACGAGAAAATTCTGGATTGATTTGATAACTTCATAATCTTGCAGTCGCCTAACTGTTTCTGGGGTTCTAAAGATATGAACTGGATTCAACGTAAGATCTATCTCTACAATGTCACTTTTGGACTCTATATGTTGGATTGGTGGGAGCGTTACCTTTTCAGTATCCTTTTCTGCTCCTGGATTTGCTTTGTTCAAATTCTCGATGCTGCATTTCGTTGACGTAATTGTTTGTTTTCCGGCAATTTATGGTGCATATAATTCTGAGTTCCTAACATGTAATAATAGATGTTACAAGAAAGACATAAAGTTTAATTGATGAATTAATATGGAGATGCGTTGGTTCCCATGTGACAATTTTTCTTGATCAAGTTTGAATTTTTTTTTGACTTTCTGTTTTCATGCTCTGATTTTAGTTGATTAAAACTTAAAAAGTTTGGTATTCCATGGTTTAAAGTCCTTTGCTATCATGATTTTAAGTTTCTATTTCTGTTGGTCATCAGATTTTTGGTTTCTCTATGCTGTTGTTAGTCATGTATTGCACTTGTGTGTTCCTAAATTGTGTCAGATACTTTGGTGATTGTGTTGATGTGGTTCATCTTCTACAACAGCTCCCGATATGTTACTGACTTTTGTAAGAGGTAGCTTCTTTACCTTGTCATCTGCACTCATTTGGTTGAATTGTTTTGATGATATGTGGAATTCATTCTTTGATAACAAAAATTGCCAGTTTAGGTGAAATAGAATGTGCTTATCTTTCACCAGTATTGTGTTGTTGCGATTATAATATATATGTTGGTTATTGTGGAAAAAGAGATATTAATTCTCTTTTAGAAGGAAAAGGAATAATGCTAGGAAACACTTCTTATAAATTGAACAAGGATTACAGAAGACTACACTCAGAAGTCAGAACTCATACATCCCTGCCCATATCTTAATAATGCAGCTATGCAGGCCTTACCTTCAGGCAAAGTGAACACATATCCAACAGATTTGTTTATGCTACTTAAGGTATTGGATTTATTTTCCAATTTTACACCTTGCTTTTGGGGGTGGGAGGGAAAACTATAAAGATAGGGAAGAAGAAGAAGAAAGAAACAAATAAAATACCTGACAAGATCATTACTTTCTCAAAATACTTTAATAAGGAACAATTAGATGCATGTTTTGTACAACATGGATCAAAGAACCAGTCAAGAATGGTTCATATGAATTCTGCTACCTTTGTAACCCTGCTTTTGGTATTGTGCTGTTAGAATAATGATCCTATCCCATACTCTGAGGTTATTTGTAACATCTTTATATTGTTATTATTTAGACAGAGAAATTGTCAAGCAGTCACCCTCGAAACAAAACCATGATGCTACTGCATGTCCTTTTTAGCTAGTGCACTGCTTATTTCCTCCTAGATGATAATGGTTCAAGTTTAAATTAATATATGTTTTGTTTTCATTTCAGTCATTTATCTTGAAGATAGGAGCAGCTTAAACTTCAAAGACCATGCTGAAGATTCTACTATGAAATAGTTTTAAATTGATTTGGTTACTTTGATTTGGACTCTGTGGGAAGTTTTTAGATCGTTAAAAACAATTGACCACATCTCTTTATTGTTTATCAGTCTTGTAAGGATTTATTTCCAGTATTTCAAATGCTCTTGTAGTAGTTCTCGTTAGTTTTCTGGCACTATAAGCTTCTGTGCTTCACTTGATTTATCACGCTAGCTTCTAGCTTCTTATTTGCTTGAATTGATTTTTTTTCTATTTTCGAGTTATGTTTGTGAGAAATGTTTTATGATTTGTTCATTCATGCCTGGTAATACACATAGCATCAAACTTTCTGAAAGTGCATGCTTTTCATAATTCTGTGTGTTGTGTCAAGGAAAGAGAGTTTTCCATCCAGGGATGATGGGGTCACCTTAAGTGCTGTTTCCAGGCGACTTGAACTGTTAGCATGCATCAAAGGTCAAACAATGTTAACATTAAAGTCTTGGCCATAGTTATAGCCACATAAATTAAAATATTGTAAATTTGTTTAGTTTAATTGATTTTATTAATTTATAATTAAATATGGTATTTAAAAATATTAATATATATTAATTTTTAATTATTAAATAATAAATATTAATTATTTTATAAATTATCAATTAATATTTATTATGATTAATTATTTTTATTAATCAAACTAAATGTATTTATAAATTTTTTTTTATGTGACCATAATCATGACCGACTTTGGGGTTTGGATTTGACACATGTTTCTGAAATTAATTGATGTTCCTGTACATAGTACCTAGCTTTATAGTGTTTACAACTGTTACGCAATATGAATACAATTAAATAGACTTAACAAAAACAATATTGAGTGTTGATTCATGCAAGAGCAGCAGCCTCTTTATTCTTGATTGACCCACAATCTATATTATCATGTGTCACAATACCAAAGTTCTGGATCTAATTAGGCACTCTCACTATCTCACACACACACCACCTGGGTAAAAAGGGAGAGGCCAGTGTTGGGTGGAGATTTATATGCACATGTTCCTATCCCTACTTAACTCTGGTGTGGACCTTTGCTGCTTCCTGCCTGTTGGAATCAGCAAAATGGAAAAAAAAAATAACAATAAAAAGCAAAAACCAAAAAGTTATCAAATTGGTGATCATTGCTCTGCCTCCCCCTATTAGGCTATTTGATTTGATGTTCCTTTTCTTTCTTTTTCTTTCTTTTTTTTTTCTTTCTTGTGTTGTTTTTTTCTCTTTGACAATTGCTCTTCACCTCACAGCTGGATATTTGTTTATGTAGCTTGAAAACGCCCCCTTTAGTTGGAGGAGATGAGTATATCAAGTTCACATTGCCGTGGGTCTCTTCCACTTTAAACCTGTTAAAAGTAGATTGCTTCATAGATTAACCCAGAGTTTGATCCCTTCTTCTCTAAATTTCTTCACCTTGAGTTTATGGTTTTTCCTTTGATTTTTCTTGTTTTGTAGAGAGGAGACACAGTTATCACACGTTGAACTTGCTATTCATCCAACTGCCTGAAGTATCTCTTTGCTAGTACATTTTTTTAAATAGTTTCTTTACTACAAAATAGTGAAAGTCGTTGGGCCACCATTAAATTGTTGGGCCATACAAACTTTTTTGTGTGTGTAAATAGTCTGTCCTTGCAATTGAAAATAGCTAAATCCCCAAACT